GTTTACTTCATTATTTAATATATTATAATATCCAACTAGAACTGAAGACATTCAATTACATTTAAATTTTGTTTCCATTTCATCTGTTTTATTTTCAAATTATTTTATATTTGATTTGTAATATCATACTCTAATTGAAAGTGATATTCTTTCTTAATAGATTTAAGGTATATTATTTTAAATTTAATTAACTTAAACAAAATAAATTTAAACATCCATCTCTTCATTGAAATCCATTTCCTCACATAATTCAGTGACTTCAATTTTTGTATCAAATCTAAGCCTCTTAATAAAAGTAATTTATTCATCCTAATAAACTAAGTCAACACGTTTAAAAATGATATTAGTAATTCATTTTTTGCATATTTTTCATAGAATGAATAATTTTTTTGATGATAGAATAATAAAATTAACGAAATAATAAGCACATTAGCTTTTCTTGTATTTTTTCTTTTCTTCCAAGGAATCTAAAATTCTTATTATAATGGTTCTTCTTACTAAGGGTTTTAGAAAAAAGGTTTTATAATTTAAGTATTAATGTGCTTGAACTTAGTTTAATCTTCTTCATTTCCTTCTAAAAATATAACAATTTGAAAAATATGTGTAGCAGATTAAAAAAGGTTTAAATTTTTAATCTTTAAATGATGCCAAATACGATTTTAACCTGGAACCCTAAAAAAATAAATATTATAAAAATAGTTATCATAAATTTAGTTTTTTATTCTTTTCATTAAATAAAATTGAAGATCTTAAAAAAGAACTAATTTTAAATATTAAATATAAATGAAGCATGTTACAATAATACATTGTAGAATGTTTAAATAATGGTCTTTTCAAGATATAAAATACCAAAATTTTTGGATTTAACTTATAACAAAGAGGAAACTTTTTGATTAATTAATTACAAAGTGATTTTCTAAGATTTCAATAATAAGAATGATTATAGGGATAATTGAAAAAAAAAAGAGTTATAATTAAGTTGATGATATTAATTTAATACAATTAGTAGTCTTATATAGGTGGAATATTTACTTTTAATATCGAAATACAATTTCTTTAATTAATGTATAGTTATCAATAACAAATTTGAAAGCAAAAGAATTATAATCTCTTATATATTTTTTTTTGGGTTTGCTAACATTATCTTATTATTTGAAAATCTTAACATAATTATTGATTAAAGTGCATTATTATTTTATTTAATAGTCTAATAATTGGAATTATAATCAAGATAATGCTAATAAGCAATGCAGATTTGCAAAAACTATTTAAAAAAAAATATACGTACTCATCTCTAATAAAATACTACATGAACTAATTTTTAGATTACTATTACATATTTATTTTATTATTAATATAAAAGCTTTCTTTTGTTTGCTAACGGGTTAATTTTTTGTGCTAAATTTTACCAAATTTTCAGATATTCATAAATCTACTAATATTTTTTTAATTTTTTCAATTTAACTAATCAAATTTGATTTATTTTAAACCTTAATGCTTTCTAAATTAACTTACTTAAGTCCAATCTATTTGCCAGTATTAATATAATTTTTTTTCAAAATATTGAAAAGTATATTATTTTCTTTCCCTTTGGCATTGTAAAAGTTATGGATTTAAATTGGTAATATATATGTATTTTTATAAACTAACTTGCCTGTTATGTTTAATTCCATTATCACTTCTTTAATCATAGTATCAGCATCAATATTAGTATTGAATTTCTCATTATTCTATCTGACAGATTTATTTAAATAATGTTATATCGATCTAAATCCAGCATTCATAGCTTCTAAATATTTTTCCCTTATTATCCCATTATTAAGATTTTATGTATTTATAAATATACCCTTATTCATTAAAATTAATATCACGATCAAATATATTCGACTTACCAATTAGAGCTCTCATCAGTACTAAAAATTGTTATTTCTTTTTAAAATTTTACGAGAAATTTATCGAATTTTGAAAAATAATAGTATTTTCTTACCAGCTGCTCAAGATGGAATAGTTAGGTTATAAACCTGAATAAAACATTCCTGTTGACCTCTTTAAATTTTCCTTGTTACAACACTTCAAGGATAGTATTAATTTGAAATTTTAACTTGATAAATTGAAGCTTAAGGCTGAAAACTTGTAGATGAGTCAGCAATCTATAAAGGCAAGCCTTAGTTAGGTCAACTAGAACTTGCCTTAAGGGAAACCAATTATTAAGACAGAATAGATCATTTTCATCAATCACCATAAAAACAACTAATTACACTCTAAGAATAAAAATTTCAAAAAAGAAAGGCACAACTTAATTGACAAAAGAAAACTAACCACATATTATTTCTCTATAAGGGACGAGATAAAAATCTATCCAAACTCTCAAGAAAAAGCATAACAAAGAATTATTGTATGTTGAGATTTTAATCATAATAATGTTAGATTCGATTAATTGACTTACATTAAGTAATAATCAAACATCGCATTTACTAGGACAATTAAAGGAAAGGTAGTGTTAACTCTCTTAGACTCCATTTGTTGCTCAGGATAAGTATAAAGTGAGAAGAATCTT